CTACTTTCAAAGGGTACATAAAACTTGGAGGTGGCAGATTGCAGAAGCTATACTTTTAAATATTAAAATTGTGAAATTGCTTTTCTTTTGAAGTGTTTTTGTAGCCTGCCTGTGTAAGTGTAACTTGTTGTTCAGCCTGTAGGAGATAGAAGGACATTTCTGTAACACTTCCGTAGCAGAACTCCTCTGCTCTAAGTAAGAAGAAAACAAAAGCGGTATGATACCAACTTAGCAGAGTAGGTGTTGTGCAAAACAGCGTGGTAACCTTTTAGACTGGTGTGATGGAAATGAAAGCAGAAGTAGAGTATTGAAACAAACATTTTAAAATGTATATACAAGCATGAGTTGTCTCTGATGCAGAGTAGCGTAGCACACTGTTTTTTAGCTGATTTAAATCAGGAGACTGCTCAGTTTTTGCTCAAGTTGTGGTGTGCTATGTAGTTGAGCTTAGTAATGAAAAACCTGCTTTTTAAAGTGCTTTTTGTGATCTTTTTTAGGTGTAGTTCATGCAACACTTTCTGGTAACTCCTGGCACTGCTTTAAGCTGTAAGTTTGTGTGGGGGTAGCCGTACTCAGGGTGTACTCCATGGCAATCATCAGATGCTAAAAGCTTAATAAGGGTGCTGTGTGATTCTGCTCTGTGCTTCTTAGGTAGAATGTGATGTCACGTAGCTGAGGAACTCTGTGAAACTTAACACGTTGCACAGGAATTACATATCTGAAATGTCTAGGGAAGAGAGAAACAAATCACTTTGAAACATAAAATAAGCCAAAGGGAAAATGCAATGCAATTCAAATATAAATGATATTAATACTGTCTTGAGAAGTGAGTGCATATGAATTATCTTGTCCTTATGTAGGAGAATAACGCCAGTAGCATATTTGACAGTGTGTTTGAAAGTTTTTTTCTATCACAGTCCTCTCAACAAATGGGAGGAGCTGTGTTCCCTACGTGCCAAGTTCTACTACAATTTTGGTAACTTTTGGAACTGTATGAATTACCTATTTAGGCGATTGTAACAATTATGTAAGTAAATGTTATATAACCACTCGCGCTTAAGTGTATCCAAACCGAGGTGCAGTAAAAAATTCTGGTTGAAAATCTATAGTTTCAGGTTCTCATAAAAATGGCCTCTTTTCAGAGGAGCTGAGTACAGCGTGCTCCTGCTGATATCCACTTCATGTGTCGGAGCCTGCAGTGGTGGTGCCTGCTCTGAGGTCTGGCACTGGCCCTTCACACGTGATCTGCTCGCTCTGGTTCCTGGGCTGGAGCTCCGGATGGCCTCAGTTTGCACAGATTGCTCGCATGGGCTGGCCCAGGCTCCGGAGGAGCTGCCGGTGAGCTGCTGATGGATGCTCAGAAGGGGCCTTGGCAGCCTCCTCCCGGCATCTGTGGGATGAGCTGAGCCCACAAATCAGTAGGACTGGAGCTGTGCCTTCTCCAGAACAGGAAACCTGCTCTGAGGGGCTGGAGGAAACCTGGCGGAGTGGAGTGTTCAGGATGTCAGCGGCAGCACGCACTGTCAGGCTGTCGTGTGATGAGTTTATGAAGCTGTTCCTGCAAGGCAGGGGGTGCATATTTGCAGAGAGTATTAATTGTTTTTTTGCCAAGGCTGCTTGAAGCCACCCTTACCTCTCCTGGAACACTGAATTCAGAGGAGTTGCATGTTTTAGATAAACATGTTTTGAGACTACAATATAAGTCTCATATCAGGCTTATTATATAAGCCATTAGAAGTTTGCTTGGTCCCTTTCTACATCCATAGTATTTTTGGAAGTGTTATCTTCTGTGCAGGACTATATCACTTAATTTTTTTTTTTAAGCCCTTCTGAAATTTGGGAGAATATAGGGGAAAATCAGTATTACATAGATTTTGGGTTTGTAGTCTAGTTCCTAGAAACTGTACAGGTTGTATTAGACAATCTGTTCCAAATGAAAATTTGTTTACCAGTCTTGTCTTTTGATTAAAAAGGTGTCTCAGCTGTATGTCACATGGTAGGTGGGTGAGGAGGATTAAGATTCCCACTCCTGAGTGTAGGAAGTGAAGAGTAACTAGAGTTAGGAAGAGACATCAGGGCGAAAGACCAGGAAACTGCAGTAGAGGGGTACAGGAAATGGGTGGGAATTGAGGAAATTAATTTTTCCTACAGTGTGAAATTAATGTAAAGTCTAGCAACTAAACATTGAAACCTATTGAGAAAATGTGCCCCTCAAAATAATAGATTATGGACAACAGCAGCTTTCACTACTGTTGCTTACATTGGTTTTTTTCTGTTGTCTGGAGAATTATTGTGGTTCTCTATGATTTTTCACTCTCTTGAGTTTTAAGGTGTTTTTCTTTCCCATTTCCTCTTCACTGTACGCTTCCTGTAGTCTAAGTGCTCCCAATGAAGCTCTGAACAGTTGGGAAATGTCATGTTCTCTCTATATCCTTAAGTCAGCTCTGTTCAGAAGTACTTACAACTGTGTGGAAACCCCATTAACCCACTTTAAAGGTGTGATCAAGGTCCCATGATACATGCCAGCCCTGAAATTATGCCGTGAAATAAGCAATTAACTTTGTTTGGCATTTAATCAAGCAGTTAATTTTGAGACTGGCTTGTTAAAATATCCAGCTTTGAGAGAGATCCTGCAGATACGAGTGAAACCACTTCGCTTTGGTTCTGCAGGAAAAAAGTAAATTCTGAGCATTACAGTCGTGAGGCAGAATTCCAATCATTAGCCAGTTTTCCTTCCTGCTCATTTTCCTTCCTGTTATCCTGGCACATCTGTGCTGTTTGTGGGCCCAGCACCACTACAGGCACGGCTGGTGTGGGTGATGCTGTTCTGTGCTATGACAGTGCTGTGCCTTAGGAGCTGAACTGAGCCAGACCCAGCTCAGGGCTGTGCCCAGCTTAGAATGCTGCCAATCCAAACAGGAAGTTTAAGAAGCAGCTTTTTAAACCTACAGTCCTGTTGTTTACATGGCTCAATAGATTGTATTTATGTGAATACTCAGTGTGAATATTATGAACAGGATTAAAGATCATGAAAATCTTTAGCCTATTGAGTATTAGTTTTGGGAAGAGGTTAAGAAGTTTTGTAAATTACAATCAGTTGTCACTCATTTAATACATGTTTTTAAAAAAAACCACGTGCCTATGTATGCATGACTGATTTTTCTGCTTGTTTAATTCATATAATTTTAAAATTGGGGTTTTTTTATAAGTAGAACTAATTAGGCCTTCTTATGAATTTATGCTTCACTGTTTTTCTGCTTTACAAACAATTACTTTCTTTCCCTTCCTTTCCCATATCCCAATACTATCAGCTTCTTTCTGTGCTCACCACGTATGGGTTGATCAAAGTGTGGCTTATGCTGTGTGGCCTGTTCTGCCCCAAGCATGGGCATATTTCTTAGCCAGAGTATGAGTAACTAGGCCATATTAACTTGGGTCTCTTTCTTCTTCCAAATCTAATGAAACTTCATGTTTAACACATTTGCCTTTTGTCAAGTATGATTAAAAATTGGTAAGACAGATTTAGCCCAATCAGACCTCATTTTCCCTCTCAAGTTATTAAAATAGCTTAGTTTTCAGACTGAAAACCCTCTTCATCACAATGTGGACAGTGCAGTGTGTTGCTGTACTGTATTTCTGAGTTTGGGATGCTGCATCAAAGGCTTTGTGTATTGGTCTTCCATCTCATGGTTCTCTACTTCCTCTTCACAACCAGCAAAGTAGTTGGAGCCTATAAAATCTTCAATATGAGTTAACAGTCTCACCTCATGTCTTTCTATTTCAAGATGTCATGTATTTCTATGTGTCAAGGAGAGTGGTGACCGGCGTTGAGGAACTTGATAAAAAATTCCCAATAAAATAAATACTAGACTTTCTAGACTTTCAGTGGTAAGATGTTGGAGAGTGATAGGATGAGAAGGTTAAAAACTGAAGAGAGAGATTAAAAATTAACCCCCCCCCAAAAAACCAACCCCAAACCCTAGAAAAATAAAATTCATATTTGTGCAGATAAAAATTGAGCACACTGCAGTTAAAGACAATATCCTTCCTTCAGGTTGCCAGAAATATGTCTTTGTATGTGTTGGTGCTTTGGCTGTTACTGCAGCGAGATCTGTAAATGGAAGTGTGCAACCAAAACATGTACCCAGGGTGATGGATGGAGGAGTTTTAAGAAGCTTTTAGCTTTAGCTCTGCTGCCAAGGTGTTTGGTTTTAGGTGATGATGGTGGGAATAGGTGAGGCAAGAGGGGAATGGAAGCTTCACCACCGAGTTCATGTGTCTGCTGTGCTCTGTGTGGAGTTAAACCAAACCCTGGAAATGTGAGTGCAGGATGAGGGGCTGGGAGGTCGTTTCCTTGTACCTGAACGAGTCTTTGGTTCCGTGGCTCAGCAGCTCCTGCCACCAGATCCTTTACAAACTTTGTATGCAGGAAGCTTTTGAGTTAGTACTCAGTTAAGAATTATAATGCAGGAGAGAGTCAAAGACTTTCCTGAGGAAAGTGAAATTTCCTTAACTACGTGTGGCCACAGTTCCCACTCTGTTAATTCTGGGTGCTTGCAGTTAAACCACTGCAGTGAGTGCTGTGAGCTCCTGGGAAGTGGAGGGGGAGGCTGGAGAAATGTTTTGGTGGGAGCACGGAGTGCTGTGCAGAGAGCTGTAGGTGAGACAAAGTGCTGTGTGCATGTGGTTTTTCTGAAAACCAAAGTGCCTTTTTTTAATCTGTTCTCGTAGCTGTTACTTAGTAGAGGTCTTGGGAATGTTCTCAGTCCCAGTACACTGATGGCCTTATAAATTGGTGAGGCAAATGTAATCACAACTCTTCCATCTAGAAATGCCATGTTGATGCTTTCTAAATTGCAGTGTTTTGGCATTTTAAAGAAAATATACTTTTACTTTCACAGATTAAGCTGCCACCAATGATGGAAATCATAACGGCTGAACAGCTGATGGAATACTTAGGTTAGTAATTACAATAAATTGTATTCACTTGTATATTATACTTTATAGTGAGTAAAAATGTAGAATTGTTTTATTTACTGTTTTATTCAGCTTTACTTGAACTCCTGATCCAAGAAAACTACTTAAAATATTCAGTTATTCCAGAAGTTTTCTGTCCTGCTTTCCTAAGTGGTTACTCTAGTGATGCAGTTGCTATGGCTTAGTACACCAACACATTGGTAGATTTAAACTTACTTATGTCTCTTGTATTGCTGTTTTGTTATAGTTGACAGAATAAGTTGACACAGTAAGTCAACCGTGTCTTTAATTCTCTGCAGTAACTCTAATCCTTGGAATTGTGACCCAATTAAAATAACAGGGGAAATTAATGTAGTCAATGATTGGGGTCTCATTTACAGGCACTACACTGTTATCATGGTCAGTGTTCAGCAAAATTGCAGCTCTTTCTATCTGACAGGGCTGTAACTTCAATACTCCCCATGACCCAGCTGTTAAAAGTGCAGCTGTGATAGTATTTAAGCTGTAGGTACCTCAGTTCTTTCCTTTTGTAGCCTAAAAAATATAAAATGTTTGAACTTAATAGACTAGGTTTGATTTTTATTTTTTTTTAAGTATGAGAAGAAACCTTACTATATTTTCTTTTTTTCCTTTTGTTTGTAAAGAATGTAGCTTGTTCTTTACAGAAGCAAATCACTGAAACTTCTGGTGGAAGAAAAAAGTTAACTACATAATTAAAAAAAAAAAAATCCTAAGAAATCTTTTGGCCTGTGTCTAAACATTTCTTGTAATTGTGTTGATAGAATAACACTATCTGAAGTCACTGCATAATTCCAGTGTGTATTCTTTCTTGGAGGCATATATTAGCTTCTGGAATTATCTTATTAAATTGAATAACAAAATTACGTGCTCAAATTATTTAGATTCCTATTCAGTCAACAGGATTAGCAGTTGCCTCACGGTTCTTCTTCAGCTGAAAAAAAAAAACAAACCAAACAGACTTCAACCACTTTTAACTTAAAAGATTATAAATGAGGAAACCTATAATGACATTTCTCTTTGAGTAGAAACATTTTTTTAGTAGTGGAGCAACAGAATAAATACAAAAACATTGTAATAAAATCTGGAAGATGTGGTAAATCTTGAACCCCAGTGTGTTGATTCACATTCGTGTTGTAGACAAAGATGGAATGCAGGTGCTGTGGTTCAGCCCCAGGCAGCAGCCAGGCCCCAGCAGCCACTCACCCACTCCCCCACCAGCAGGATCAGGGAGAGAACTGGAAGCCAGACAATTTGTGGGTTGAGATGAATTTTAATAGGGAAAGCAAAGCAAAAGCAGGGATTAATTCACTGCTTCCCATGGGCAGGTGTTCAGCCTCTCCAGGAGAGCAGGGCCCCCTCACGTGTAACGGTGACTTGGGAAGACAAACACCATCACCCCAAATGTCCTCCCCCTGCCTCCTTCTTCCTCCCTTTATATACTGAGTGTGATGCCATATGTTCTGGAATATCCCTTTGGTCAGTTGGGGTCACCTGTCCCAGCTGTGTCTCCTCCCAGCCTCCCATGAATCCCTAATTTCCTTGCCAGTGTGGCAGGAGAAAAAGCAGCAAAGCCCTTGGCTCTGTGTAAGCCCTGCTCAGCAATAACAAAACCATCTCTATTATCATCCCTGTGTTCAGCACAAATCCAAACCAGCCCCATTCCAGCCACTGGGAAGACAGTTAATTCTACACCAGGCAAAACCAGCACAACAAGTTTTGTAGAATTATTGGTGTCTGAAACATATGCCAAAACATTCCTAGTATCACTCAGCAGAAGGGGTTGCCTTTTTAAATTGTGTTATGGAATTACATATTTTACCATGAACAGTTTGACCTTTCTGTGTTTTAAAGTTAAGGTACAGAGGGAGGTACATTTCGGAACAATTAAGGGATTATGAAATGCTGCTTTAGTAACAATGTTGGCCATTAGAATTAATTTCTTAATATGGTTTTAATATGGTTTTTATACTCATATTTTACTCCATAATTATGATTCAGGTTATGAAACAATGCTATCTCGTTACATTGGTAGAAAATTTCAGTGATGGTATTTGTTATCAGTCAGCTTCGTTCAGAAGTGTTCATAGAACTATTGAAGCTTTGAGTATGGAATAAATTTAATTTTTTATTTTTTTCTTTAGGAGACTATATTCTTGACGCAAAACCTAAAGAGATATCTGAAATTCAGAGACTTAACTATGAGCAGGTAAGGAGCTGCTCCTAAAATACACTTGCTTATGTCTGAAGAAACTAAAACTTTTTCTCACCTAGGATTTATCACCTTGTTAAAAAACAGAAGCATATAAACCATTGTTTGTAGTTTCTTGGTTTATATATTTTTTATTTATATATACTTCTATTAGTGCTCAGTATGTGTTAACAGAAGAAATGATATTTTTTTGGCCTGTTATGAATATAAGAATTTGGAGTTTATTGAGGAACTGTAACACAGAGGTACAAATAAAAGTATATAACAGGGTGGTTGCTTTTTGAAGTCTTCTCTTACAAGTCTTCAGTGTGATCTGCTCTGTGATGCCTGCTAGAGTTTCTCTGAGGGTGTAAACTGAGCAAGAAGAAGGTCTTGTTCTTAATAGTGATGGACAAAAAGAGATTAATTCCAGGTTATGAAAGGCAATATTATTTGAACTGACCACTGTTTATCATCAGGGAAGTCTTTCTATGCTAAAGATAATGCTGTTGGTTTAAAAAAATATTGATGCAGTGCATACTATCTTGGAGCAAGTTTTTGAAGCTCTGTCTGTAGTCATGGCTGGTTTTCTGGTTACTCGTGGAAAAGTGATTTGAGTTTTTGATAGGTGGTAGGTTTCAAGCTAGTTCTGTTTACTATTCGGTCTTTTTTTTCTTGCTCTTATTCAGTGTTGAAAAACCAAATCGAGTAACTTGGGTTTGATTTGTGTCAAATTATAGGAATCACTTTTGTAATAACAAAATTGGCTGGTTTTTTGCACACAGTTCTGGGCTGCAGAAGGTTTATAGCTATAACCAACATACAAGAGGGTGATGAAAACTATATGCCTGGTGAAAGTACAACCTCTGTAGCTTTCTTATGCTCAAAGATATGGATTTACTACATATATGTCACATACCTTAAATATTTCATTGTAATTTTAAAGAAGCCTTCTGTTCTGGGAATCTTCTAAGTTGTTTTGAAGGAGCAGAAATAGCTGAAGTAGTAATGATACTGTTGAAAATGTAGGGAGAAATTTCTGTGGTTTTCTGGTCAGTTTGATGTAATCCTGCTTCATTTGCAAAGTAAACATTACAAAATAAAAGCAACTATTGTCTGTAGATGTATGATCTGAATTTGTGATGACTAGTGCTGACTTACTATAGACTTCCTATTCTTTTAGCAGAGTAAGAGTATAAACAAATTTCTTTCAAAATACCTCTGATAGTTGTTTTTTTCATGCTTGATATCTGGTCCCTACTAATGACATGCACTTGTTCAGGTGGTTTGCTTTGCTATTATAATGATAAAAACTTTCTTAAAGAAAGTCTGAGCTAGTCTTGAGAATTACTTATAAATCTTGCTAAATTCTAAATCTCGTGACAGCAAAATTGTCAGTAGGATGAAGCAACATGTATTGAAGTAGAGGGAGCTTTTACCTTCCTGGTGACAGAACAATGCAGTTAAAGGGTTGCAAGCATTGGAACTCTCTCATTCATTGTAACCATGCTCAAGTGCAGGTACTGGATCAGAAGACAACAGAGGCAACTGTCTCTAACCATCTTAATGGTTATTAGAGACCAGTTAACTTGGTCTGTGAATCTTTTGTGTCTCCATCTCCTGACAAAACTGTATTTCTGGGTTTTGTCATGGTTTTTGTTCTTATCGTTGCAAGCCTGAATTTCTCTTACGCAACAGAATGTTGCAAAACCCAACAAAAGCCCAAACAAACAACAGACAAAAAGTGCCTCAGTTTCCCTGCATTTTTTGCACATACTTTCTAATCATACTCTTTGTGGAATCTTCTCACTTGGTGGAAAATTCTTTTTCCTGCATGTCAGGAAATTTTCTTGTCTATTGGTTCAAGAGAACTGTCTCACAAAGCACTTTTTCTTTGGCTCATCTTTGCTTTGTGTGATTGGCTCTTCATAACTTGATAATTCTCCTTAGGATTCCATTGGGATCAATGCTATAATAAGTGTTACTTTCATGACTTGTTTCCACAGTAGAATCTACAGGCCATTTAAAGGTCTGCCCAAAATAAGATAGCAAACTTTTCTTATGAAACAGAAAAAAATCGGTCTTAATTTTTCATCACTTTAAGTATTGAACCCTGAAATTAGAATTGGCAGGTAGATCTGTGTAGATCTTTGTTTTGTTCATTTATTATGTAGTGGCAAGTATTTCAGCTTGACTTATAAGGCAGGACTTAAAGGGGAGAAGAAACCTCAAGAAAAGTCCCTTGGAGCTTCCCTTATAATTCAGTTTTTTTGCCAACATCTGGCTTGTGCCTATGGGAAATAGAGCTAAAAGCAACAAGAGCTGCCTAAAAGCAGCTTATGGTTGTAGAGGAAGAAACAGTCAGATACAGTTGATTGGGGGGAGAATTCTTATATTTCAGATATCTTCTGGCACAATGAGAATGAATTATGTAAATAAGCATTGAAACAACTGTTGAGGTGATTTCCCCTTTTGTACAATTTTTTTGAAGTGTTGAATTGATTAGGAGTGATTAGGAGTTGCAAGAGTAACCATCAAGTGTCCAAAGCTCTGTTTGGTCATCTGTTTTTTTCTCTTTCTGCTGTCAGAACATGAGTGATGCCATGGCAATTCTCCATAAGCTGCAGACGGGTCTGGATGTCAATGTGAAGTTTACAGGTGTTCGAGTGTTCGAATACACACCTGAATGCATCGTGTTTGATCTTCTCGATATCCCCTTGTACCACGGGTGGTTAGTGGATCCTCAGGTAACTCCTTTTTTTATTAATAACTCAGAGTATAAGTTATTGGGAATGTTACTCGTGGGAGGGGAACGTTTTAGATTTTTAACGAGTCAATAACGATTATGGTAATGGATTTTTTAAATCTAGTGAGAAAAACTGAGGAGGGAATACAGACTGTGTGTGTTTTTTAGTGCAGGAACTTTGCAGAGCCCAGGTCTATTGTCAAACTACTTGAAAAGCCTTCTTTGACTGTAAATGAGAATTGTTTTTCTGAGGGAGATAAGTCACCAGACACAGCTTCCCAGTCATAGTTTTTGGAGGCTTATTAGAGAACACTTGGGAGGAATGCAAGGTTACTTTCCTCCTTTCTTTAATTCTGATTTACTAGGCACTGCTTTTGAGAAATGAGGACTGTAGAATTGATTGGAGAGAACTGCATGTTTAACAAACATATAATTTATTTTTAATTATATTATTTAATAAACAGGACAGTGGTACCGTTTAATTAGGGGAATACTGGTGAGTTTGGCTGGAATAATCTGCCTCAGATTTTTTTCATGCCTTGTTGGTGAGAGTTGCTGTTCTCTTACTCCTTGGAGTCCCCCTTGGCCCCACTGATCCAAATGATGCCCTGTTCTCTCCTCCATCTACTCTAGCAACAGCTTTTGATGCTAAGGGTTAACTGAAAGATTTAACATGGGATCTGAAACAGTAAAATATGTAACACTCTGGGCTAAAACTTTTGGTCTAGTATTTACTAGACCAAAGGGGGATAACATCCTCTCTTTGAACTCTTATTTTCTTATGAGTAATTGCCATAGGCTTGCAGTTGTGTTCTGTCCTTCACAGAGGTAAGTTCTCTGTTCTGTGTGCTGTTCCTTCCTGCTCCAGGTTGCTGACATAGTAAAAGCAGTTGGTAACTGCAGTTACAATCAGCTGGTGGAGAAGATCATTTCTTGTAAACAGTCAGACAACAGTGAACTGGTTAGTGAAGGTGGGTAACATTTTTTATGCTTTATTAAAGTAGCCTAACAAATCCAAGTTACATATTTTTCATGTGGATCTTGTTGTGCAGAGATACAAGTGTGAAGAGCTGCATTCTGCCTGCTGAGCTTCTTTCCCTGGGCTGGCAGACAGCACTGTGCTTGTCCTCTGAACTTCTCTGATGCAATTTCTGAAACAGGAATCAGCTGCATTCCCTTGATCTATTCAGTGTACTTTTTCAAAAGCCTGAGAGAACTTCCCTTTATGAAGAGGCAGTATGGGCAGCATTCAGGTTGCAGCTCAGCTCTGCATTATCTCCTATAGTTAGAATATGAATTATATAGTGTGTGACAAAAGGGAAAAAAATCAGTAGTATTAGAAGTGGATACAGCACTTCTGAACATGAGAGGGTTCTCTACAATGCTGTGTTTTTAGCACTTTCAACTTGTTTTCTCCCTGAATGTGTTCCCTTAAATTTGTGGCAATATGGAGGCATCTTAGTAGGAGGGGGAGATGGGAAAAATACTACTGTTGTAACCAGCTTTTATATTAGCAAGTGTGGAACAGACACATAACATTGTGTATTGCTTTTGTAGGGTTTGTTGCTGAGCAATTCCTAAATAACACAGCTACACAATTGACATACCATGGACTGTGTGAGTTGACTTCAGCTGTCCAGGAGGGAGAGCTTTGTGTGTTCTTCAGGAACAACCATTTTAGCACCATGACCAAATACAAGGTATATTCAACATTCTTGTCTTTACTGTTGTGTTTTGTGTTCTTGCTTCAAAGCAAATCTTGATTTTTCCACTGTCTTGGGGTAGAGATAAATTCCAGTTTGTTACATGTAAATATGGCTTACGGTGAATGTAAGGTCTGTGGCAAACGTTACTTATGAATTATTGATTACAGTGTTTTAGATATCAGGATCCATTATTGCTTTAAATCTTCTTGTAGCTCTTCCTTTTATGTTCAGTTTGCTGCCTGTGTTAACTCTTTGTGCTTATGTGTAATGACATACACTGCTTACATGGCTTAGATTTACTTACAGTTTGTGATTGGCAATGATAAGGTTAATTTACTGAATTTCTTGTTTCTGAGGATCTAAAACTTTGCTTTACATTTGGGCCAGTAGATGAATAGCTCCATCATGGTGTTCAAAATACCAGATGTTTGGAGAAGTTGAGATGAGCTACAGTATCTGTTCCCTTTGTTAGGGAAGAGATTATTTTTTAATCTGAATCTGGAGAAGTAAAATGGTGGGAATTGTGAAAGGAGTATTCCCGGATACAAAAAGCAGGTGTCAACTTGGTTAGTGCTTCAGGAACTCCTTCCATGGAATGGATGCCACTGCCTTGGCAAGTTTACAGTTATCTACTGAGCATCTTTGTTCTAAAACAACTTTGCCTTTACGAAGATCATAGTATATGAATTTTTACCTTTGTATAGAATTCTTGAAATTACATTTCGATTATGTTATTTAATAAGAATTTAATTTCATGTATGCTTGTATTTGTGAAAAAAGAGAGGTGTGTGACGTGCAGAAAGGTAAAGGGCCCACTGGTTTTGCCATCTGTTATGTGTAATGTCATGTATCTCATGTGAATGGCACTTGTTCATTTGTCACTACTGGTCCTTTTTTCTCCCTCTGTTGATCTTGACTGTCAATGCTTATCTTTGGCATTTTGAATAACGCCTTACAAGCTGAGTTAAAGGTCTGAATAGTCCTGATAAATAATGATTAACTCTACAGGCAGGTAACAAATCTGGTTTTCTGATTCCTTCTTACAGCACATCTGACATCTGTTTTAAATCTTTGTACAGTGCCACTCTCCTAAAGCAGTAGGGCAGGTAAAAGGAGCTTTCTCCTCCCTTCCTCCATTTGAAAACCAAAAAGCTATGAAATGTGTCTGTTTATGGTCAAACATCATACTTCCTGAGGCAGCTCATTTAAGTCACAATTTTAAGTATAGTTTTGGTTCTCTCTATTCTTCTAAATTTAGTTCTTGCAGTAACTGGTAGTAGCTTGTGAATCAAGCCTGTACATTCTTTTATGCTTGCTTTTATGATGGGGGATGAGGGCAGGGGGAACAACCTCAACTTCAAAGCCGTTTGGTTTTAAAAAGGAAAATACTAAATCAAAGTACAGCTGTACTTTCTGGATACAAATGGTACCCAGAGGTGCAGGATACCCCCTTTACTTCATCTAAAGGATATTCCAGGTAAAATATTTAAGGAAATCATGCCTTTTTGTGCTATTATTAAAACTTCTAAAATACTTATATTAAGTACAGTCAGTGAGTATCACTTTGACCTGGTGGATTATAAATAGAGACTGTTTTTGTAAGATGTAGACTGTTTGTAGTCTTCTACAGCTCAGTATTTAGATTAAAGGCCCAAACTTGGTGTGTTTGTCTGTGCTTTATCATCTTCATAGTTGTAAGCACGTACTTCTCAGTTGAGGTCCTTTTTCCTTTAAGAAATAAAATGCAACACTTCAATGAGTTAATATCAATAATACAGAACAGGTTAAAGCAGTGAGTAAAAATCTGTGTCTGAATTTTACCTATAAGAACTAAATCCAAATCCTAAGAAATACTGAGTTAAAATATTTGAAGAACAGTATTATTTGTTTGTGTATTTAAGGTTTACTGCTGCTAAGTCACAAGGATTTTAATCTTGTCGTTTTTGAGAAGTCTTAGAATTCTGAAATGCTAAGTTTTGAAATATAGGCCATTATTCTTGGTCACCATTATGGTGACCTCACTTGCAGCTAGTATTTAATTTCTGTGTTATCTTCAGGCTTTTAGTTGCTGAGGTTGTTGCTTTTAAACAGTGTTCATTTTGGTTTGGATTTCTGGTGAGTGGTACATTACAGAATTTGAGATATCAAGAAACTCTTTTAATGAAGACAAAATAATTTTTAGTCTATATTTAAAGGCCAGCAGTAACTCTTCTGGCTGCTTCTGACCTGCCCAGCTGTTTGCAGTAGCTGTGACTAGGTGGTCTTTCACATCAAGAAAGTCAGAAATAGCCTTGACTTGGGCTTTTAGCCAAGATCAGCTCTCCAGAAATTGTGGAGCTCCAGCATACTCATGTGAGTGCCAAATGCATTGTTGCCACAGAGTTGAGGTTTTTCAACTGCTTTATTCTTTCCATTTACTGTTTTTAATGCTCATTCTGCAGATGGAGTTTGAGCATTAGTCAGCAGTAGCTGGATTATGGAGAAGTCCAGAAGTCCATCAGTTAGGAAAAATGAAGACACAACCTATATCAGAGAAAATGAAATGTAGAACTTTTAGGACAAGAACTATGCCATTATTTTGTCTTTCTCTAATACTGCTTTTCCCTCTTCTCCCTCCAAACCAATATATGGAAACGTATAAACAAAGCAGTTACCAAGTTAATGAAAAGGGAATTATACATCTAATAAATTATGTCCATGTAATAAAACTCATGTATTTTTATAAATACACTTTGAGTAATTAGCAATTATTATTCTAATGAAACTAATGCTTCAACTTTGATTGGGCAGCTTTCATGTACAGCTGAGACAGTGACTTGTACACTGGGGAATTTTTTTTTAAGTTCAGTGTGGGTTTTTTTAAGGCTGATTTTTAGTGAAAGGACTTGGATTTTGATACCTTGTCCATTTGCCCAAGTATTTATTTTTCTGCTTCCTGTCCCTTTAATTGCATATTAATAGTCTTGGCTCATGTGATTATGCAGTAATAATTTTCAGCAGTTAAAAATGTGATTTTATTTTTTTGCCTTTGCTTTTCATTATGCAGATAATAAATACATCAAATGGTAATTCCCTAGATCAAGGAAAAACAGGACTGTAAAGAGGGGATCAGTTTGGTAAGAAGATCTTAGTTCAGTTGGAATGTTTTTCCCACCGACTTGTTTGTAATAGAGCCTGTTTTCTTTACTGAAAAATATCAAGACACCTGTTTGGATTTTTAAGTACGTGTGTTTTCTAGTTTATAAATGTTGGGTTTCTGCCTCAGAACTCAGCAGAGACTTTTATTCCAATACAAAGTATATTTCATAGCAATAATTGTACTTTTTTCTTGGGCATTTAATTGGCACAGTAGAGGCAGTGGATATAACTGCTTAGAAAGATGGTTAAATATTTTTCTGTTTCTTAGTAAGTGTAGAGTTTTTATTTTGAGGGTTATTCTGTTGAATCAAATGGATTATGCTTTTAAAAAAGCCTCAATTTTCTCTACCAGTTAAAGCATTCATATAGACTAATATTAGAAAACCAGCACTCATTCATGTCAACTTAAAACACCTTCACAAAAACCAAGGGGTCTGACCCAGAAGTCCAAGAGAATATTTGCATACAATTTAAGAGATAAGGCTTAAATTATTTCTCTTTACTGTATGAAACTACTGGACAGGTGTTTGGTTTTCTTTTTCAGTTTTCTAAGCTGCTGGTAACTTGGTAATTGGCATTAGAACAAGTAGTTTAAAAGCATTAGTTTTAATGATTTAATCTGGTCATGAAATTAGTCCAGGAAAGGACCTCTAGTGACCAGTAACATCACCTGCAGCCTAACCTGCATTTCAGAGAGCTTTTTGTGCTAACCAGGAGACAATTGCTCAGCAGAATAATCTTGCTTTTATCCTTAGCTTTATTTCAAGGTTTTTATATGTGAAACTATAAAATCTGGGCATTGGTCTACAATATCTAAACATTGATTCTTAGGATAAATAATTATTCATAACTTTGTTGTAGACACAGTGTATTGTAATAGTTATGCACTTGAGACTTTGTGTTTTACTCCCTAATGACAACAGTTAGTAGTAGATATTATTGCTGTATATTATGTGCTAGTATTTTGGGGGGGCAGTGGTAGCCCATGAGACTGGGTGTTTATTAAAAAAACCACACATTTAAAAATAAATCTAAAAGATAAGCTGGTAATAGTTTAGAAACGGTCAGTTAAGATTGTATGAAGGTAGAAGCATTTTGTCAAATATGGTACTGTCCCTGGCAAGGTCTATTTGAAAAACATATCTGTGTACATTGTTTACCTTCACTGCATGACCTTAGTGTGCTGATCATCCTGTTTTAGCTTTCACTTGGGCTAGAAAGCAGATGTAGAATTAGAACAGTGATCTGTTAAGTAGTAAACATGTTCTGTTCTTTATGTTTTTTAAAGGTTTTTAGTTCGGTGTAAATAAGTGTTTTTACACTCAGTAATTCTTCCTGATTCTGGCACTGTGTGCCCTCTTTCCCTTTTTGTTCTGGTGTGTTGCCCTGAGTGGAGCTGGAGTGCAGGAGCTTTGGTAGGGTGCAGGTGTGGTGTGCGACTGCTGGACCCGGGAATACTGCGGGTGTAGGTGGTGTATCCCTGTCTCCCAGCAGCCTGTCTGATCCCATGATCTGGCAAGTGCTGGGGAAAGGGTGGTTGGTTCCTGGCACCAGGCAGATCTTTATTTAGTGCAGCTCAAATTTAGAGGCAGCGTGAAGGTCATATGATAAAAGGTTTTTCTCGAATCACAAGATCCCCTCAGTGGAATTTGGCTGTGCCAGTGGAGGTACCTGGGAGCCTTTGGGAAGAGAACATGCATGGCATGAACAGTGTGCCTGCAAAACCAGCCTGTAACATGGCCTCTGTTTTCTTGTTGCAACTAGACGGAATAAAACCATGGAAGTTCCTGGAAGATTGATGACTGTAGAGATGAGTAGCTACAATATACCTTAGAGAAAAAGAGCTGACTCCTCTTCCTTTGTGTATGAAAGTTGTCCAATTATTGCAAAAAGTTACATGAATATTACAATATTGTGAGGATCCTGTTTGGTATCTTGAGAAATTAATTTAAATTATACTGAGACGAAGTAGAGATCAGAGCACTTGATAAAAAACAAGGGAAAGATGACTTTGGATCTCTGACCTGTGCTTTCCCATTGTTCTTTCATTCCAATAACTGAACAGGAACTGTGTCTCTTGCCAAGGACTGGGAAGCCTGTGTTTGTTGGTTTGCTGGGTTTTGTTCAAGGGAAGCAGCACATTTTAAACCATGCAAGTGATGTTGGAAATAGAGTGGTGGTGTGTAGGTGTTGGGGGTAGTAATGCAGCTTATTGCCTTTCATTAGGGAGCTGTATTAAATTTACTATTTAATGTGACATTTTTTCAATCAGTGCTCAGGTACAGTTCAACCGAGGAAGCCTTAAAAGCAAAGGAAGAATATGAATTTTATTTGATTGAAACAGTTCTCTGTGTCAAACAGTTGTTAGCTTTAAACTGTCTTTGGATGACAGATACTAGATTCCAATCCCATCAAGGCAATGATACACCTTAATATTTGTGTGTAGAAAAACTCATTTTGTAATAGTTTGGAGATTGTGAAAACAGTAACATTTTCCTATTTCAGTATTAGTACTAAGCTACAGAGCTTATGGGCTGTTTACAAAGTAATTAAAAATAGGTGGCATAATAGAGGAAAACCTCACACACACACCCCTTTTGTAGGTTTTGTTTCAACTGATATATTGGTCAAAATAAAATTTAAAAGGTTCAAATACACTTACCTTAAATACTCTGGGATTTTATTATATTTTCTGTTACAACTTTTTAAAGTCATCTTATATATGAGATGCTGTGAAATGGGTATTCTGTGCAAACTGGAAATTTCTGAAATTACTTTCTTTTATTTTCTTGGGTGATTTTTAAGCATCAGGAGTTGCATTCAGTTTTTAAGCAGGTTTCCAAGGGAAAGATGATTCCTTAGATCATGTTATGTGGTCAGACTTGTTGCTGACAATTGTATTTATTCTGTAAGGGTAACTTCCATTCCAAAGCTTGAACATGTAGTAGTGTTGTCTGTGTTTTGATTATGTTTGGGGTTATTTATCTGTTCTCTTTGGCTCTTTGTAGAAGTACATCTTATGATATTAGGTAATATTAGAATAACTGCTGCACGTGAGTCTTCAAATATTATTTTTTATGTTATGATCTCCCAGTGGCAGAAGGGATGGCTGTGAACATGGTGGGATTGGAGAGATCTGATGCTAATTTCAGCATCTCTTTTAGGCAGTTGTTTAATGGCTTAAGAGAAATCAGTGAGCTCATCCTATATGTGTTGAATATGGATGATGTTTCCATTTCTGGCCTGTTAAATCTGTGAAATCATTAGGACAGGATCTGCCTCTTGCTGTGGTACATCTTTAGCCCAGTGATCTTTGAGAACCCTTTTGTGTGCTGCTGTAGTACAAATAGTAAGTTTTTGTGGATGTCACAATAAACTGCTTTGATTTTTACAGCTAAACCACTGCAACAAGTTTTGCAGTGGTACACTTTGATCAGGTACATTCAATAATACTCATGGAAAACCTCAGTCTTAATGTGCTGTATGGTCAGTGATGACATTCTTGATTTGAAGTATATTTTTCAAAACAGTATAAAAAGGGTAGAATAAAATTAAATGGATTGATGTAAATAGAAATTTAAAGAGGGAATTTTTTTGTGCTGCTTTGCTATCCCTCAAACATGCAGCACCATCTCCTTTTACCTGAGGCCTGCTTTGGTGATTTCCCCTTGATTTCAGCTCTTGTCCCATTCCTTCAACCTAAGCTTGCATTTCATCCTTCCTGTGCCTTGGCATCTGAACTTGTTCGCATTGTCTCCTTCACTCCCAGACCAGCCCAGTTTATAATTTCAGAGTTGGAAATCAAGAAATTTGGCCTTATGGAACTGTGAAAATGTTAAAATGACAACAAAAGCAGTTTTTGGTGACAAGTCATAGCAGGAATCTTAAATTTACATTTTTCAATTGAAATAGACCTCAAATTCTATCAAAAGCCATTCTAACCCATGAAGTCTGAGACGTGGTCATTTTGAGGTAATGCCTCTTGGATTATGTGGAAAGATCACCTTTGTCTCCCTGTCTTACCCTTGGATACCCTTGGAATTTAATGTGATTTGTACTGGGACTGAAAGTTTTCATTGCCAGGTGTGTTTCCAAGGAGCTATCAAGGTATATAGCTTGATATGTATCAATATATTTGTTCTTATATGTATTCATGTTTATATTAATTTCTATTCAATATGAACTTCCATTAAAAAGGAGAAATTACAAGATGGAATACAGAAATTGTGTGGCTGTTAATTTAGCAGTGCATACTAATATCTGATGGTTTAATGCTGTAAGCTTAATCAGTTAATTTTTAAACTTGCTCAGAACTCTCAATGAACGTTTTACTGGGATGCAACATTTGTGTTACCTGATCATTTCTGCTACTTAGATTGTAAAAGGTAATTTTTTTTTTAGTTTTACACATTTTCCTTGTTGTTCTGCACAGGGTCAGCTTTACCTGCTGGTGACAGACCAGGGCTTTCTTACAGAAGAGAAGGTTGTCTGGGAAAGCTTACACAACGTGGATGGGGACGGGAATTTCTGTGACTCTGAATTCCACCTACGGCCTCCATCAGACCCTGAGACAGTCTACAGAGGGCAGCAGGATCAAATAGATCAGGTACTGCCTTTCTGTTGTATTTTTCTGTTTGCTTGTGGCTATATATAACATTTAGTACTTATTTTTAGTCATATGTGTGTATAATTACACAGGTGGTACTCATGCAGGTATGGGACTATAAAAAATCCTTTAGATAATAAAGTTGGGGTTCTCCAAAGTGCTACTTGAAAGTATTAATATGCTTTTGAGGGAGGAAAAGTGAGACCAACTGAATAGTTTGGAAAACTATTTTAATCTCTTGGAATCCACTTGTGCAAAAAACTTGGAAGTGTCACATCTGCCTGGTATATGGGAACAGAACCAGGCTGTGGAACTTGTCCTCCACAACAAACATATTTCAGCTCATTAATATTCTCATAACTGAACTTTGCCTTCTGTTGCCCACTGGTTGAATGTAGGACAAAACCCTCAGCAGACTGTGTGTCGTGGTGGGTGTTTGTTACTCCTCATGAGATCCAGAGCTGACAGAAGTTGTGTCCAAGGTGGGGCTGAGTTGTACCAGTTAATGCACAAGTGCATGGCAAGACCAAGCTCCTTGGAATTCTTACATTCCAAACAAGCATCAGTTTATAATTATCAGCATTAATGTTTTTAAATACTGGGGGGAATATTAATAAGATGCTTATTAATAAATTCAAGCACTGCATCTCTCTTGCAGAATAAAAATCTGGGAGAGATAACAGGGCTGGTAATATTTTGAGTTGCTGTTTGGTTATATGCAAAACTACACTTGATTTTCTCATCTGCTGAGGAGTTGGTGTTCCTAATGTATTCCCAGCATTGTTCAGTGGAGTGGGGACAGATACTCCATCAAGCATAATCAGAGTGTTAATTAGAGAAAATTACAAAGTGACAGCTTCAAAATGTTCTTCCTAGAACTGGTATGAGCTGACACTCTGTCTTCTGCTGCTGTTCAGGTAATGGAATATAAACCTGAAAGCACAGTTTTTTAATTAGCTTTTGTGTTTTGTGTGATGGGATGTAGGCACTGTGAGAGGAGATACTAAAGCAGCTGTTCTGCAGTTGAGGTTATGGACAGGTTCTGAAACAAATTCCTGTTTTCCATTTGAAGATAAGGCTGGCAGAAGAGGGATGGTGCTGTGTAGCAGCACATGCTGAAAATTTCACTTGATGTGACTTGACTCTTTTCTGTGTGAAAGAGCATTAATAACCAAGTTTCCTGTTCAGGATTATCTGATGGCATTGTCTCTACAACAAGAGCAGCAAAGTCAAGAGATTAACTGGGAACAGATCCCAGAAGGAATCAGTGACCTAGAGCTAGCCAAGAAGCTCCAGGAAGAGGAGGACAGGAGAGCTTCTCAGTACTATCAGGAGCAAGAACAAGCAGCTGCTCAGGTCCAGGTAAGAAAGCAGCATTACAGAATATGATCATGAATTTTAGAGAGTATTACCTTAATTATACAGGCACAACCTGTGTGTGTCCATGTTTCAGCCTGGTGAGACTGTTTACATCCTGTACAGCAAATGCCAAGGGGAATACAGGAGTTTTTAGGAATGTGCTGGTTGTTGCAGTGTGCCTGCAGATGTAGCAGCTGCTGACACTTCAGTACTTTAAAGCTGGCCTGACCTTCTAAACTGGGGTTTCATTCGTTTCATTCAAATTGGAATGATGGGATGAGTTCATATGTAAGGTTACAAAGGTGGTGTCAGCTGGTATTTTACATTACTTGCAAAAGAGCATTCAAATAAGAATTTGTTGATAGCAGTTGAAGCTTTGTCTTGCAGAAGTTTGTTGCTGTACATTTTCAGGTGATTCTGTCTATGATATCATGTGAATCTATTCAGTCATTTCAAATTGGGCAGTTAACAGTTTCTCCCAGTACACATTCTGTCCCATACCCACCATAAGCAGCTGATTTCAAAATGCTTTGAAAATGGGATTCATGCACATGTATCTACAAAAATGCAATTTAACTGAATCTTCTCTGCAAGAGGCAATGTTTAAGTTGGTGTTCTGGATTCAGGGAGTTCTTAACAACTGAAGACTTTTAGAACTGCTTATATTTACAAATATGTAAGAAATTATGTGTATGAAGGCTGAATCTTCGGCCTGGAGCAATTCAGAACCATTATCTGATGTTTGATAAGCATGAAACAAGAAGTTTGACAGTTAAAAGTTGTGTTATTTCCACTGCTTGTTGCTTTAATAGAACTACGAGTAGCTGCTTCTAAGACACAGGTTCACCACTGCTGGCTGAAAAAAGGTAGAAAGAACTGAAGAACCTGCTTAACAGGTTGCTGCTCATTTGCAGCTATGAACAGGTAACAGTTGGAATAGATGGTGAATTAACAAAACTTATGTTGCCTTTGTATACCAACCCCCTTACCAAGTTCTTAATGAGTTCCTAGTCACAGAAAGCTGCTGTTTTGCCATATCTCACTGTCAAAACCAACACTTTGACTCTGTAAATTCTGAAACGTGGGTTATGTTCTTATAAAAGAAATCGGGAAAAAATTCCAGTACAGTAACACAGAAGTGCCAGAAAATGCTTGAAGCCATATTTTATTATTGAAACAACAATCTACATATGTGGACACAACAGAAGGGACACACAGGCCTTGAAATGTATTTCCAGCTGACTTAATTTTTTAGAAATCAGCGGTTTTTGTGGAGGGTCTGGAGTATTTATACAAAAAGCCCTTACCTGAATTCTGCTGGTTTGCCTAACATTTAAACTTCTGTCTGTGAACTTGGACACACAGTAACACATCAGGCTGCACCTACAATAATGTGTTTATTCACAGTTCTGTTTTTCTCCACAGCAGCAGGTGCAAGGTGCTGCTTCTCCAGCCAGCGCGAGACAATCCGGGAGTAACGAACGCAAACGGAAAGAGCCTCGGGAGAAGGAGAAGGAAAAAGAGAAGAATAGCTGTGTTCTCTTGTAACAGAACATGGAGTCACTCTGGAGCCAAGTGCATGTCCTCAGAAGCAAAAACAAGGAGTACAAAGGAAGACAAACCTGTTACACGCCGCCTGTGCCTGATTACCCCATGGATTTTGTTCCTGTTCCAAGAGGATGGATGACTTTGTTACAATCAGACTTCCTTCAAAGTCAGAGTGCGAGCTGCCCACGAGGGAATTCCAAATCACAGTTGGACGCGGCTGTGCTTTGAGTTAGTCATAAAAATACTGCACCTTGTAGCTGAACACACAAATCATGGCAAGTCCTGTGTCCCAGTGACATCCATTACCTGTCCATCAGTCAGTAAGCTATCTTCTCTTCTACTCTAAACAAGGGAGGTCATTCATTTTGGGCGAGGCTTTTCCCTGAAGTCTGTACACGAGCACAACAGAGTTCTGTGTTACTTACCTGCTGTGAAGCTATATCTTAGGCTGGGTATAGTCTTCATGACACAAGAGCCCAAGTGACAGCTGGGCACTGCCTCCTCAGTGTGTCCAGATTTCTTTGCTTCTGGATCTGGTATGTTCTTTTTCTGAACCCAGATTTATACTGTGTTACTGCTCTCACTGCATCTCCTGGCCAGCTTTCTTGCCCCAAGAGTATGTGACTTGATAGGCATCACACAAAAATTGTCATACAAAAATGGGGCATTTATTAATAAGCAAGATGAATATTGTTTGCTTTTCTTGCAATTACAAACTGGGTATGGCAACTCAGATGTTATCAGGGTTAAACAAGTAATTTTATAGGTAACTTCTTTTTCTTTTATTATTTTCTCTCTTGTAGGTAAACTGGACCAGATAAGCTTTTATTTATTGACCTCTCCATATGATAGATGAATGATGAGAGGAAACTAAGGTCTATAATAATCCTTATATTCTATATAAGAATGCAGAGTTAAAATAACTAACTATCTGCCTTTTTTCCAGAAGTACCTTGAACTTTAACATGACGTTAACGTGTCCACTTGTGTATTTAAGCAAGTGTACTGTAGTTAAAAACACACTTTATTTGTTTGTTTTATAAATCGTGTATTCTTAAAATAAGCACACTTCTGAAGGGTGAGAGAGCAGTGAAGCTGCTCTCTAAGATGGGTTGGAAGCTGGTCAGGTGTAATATTTTGTTTTTTAAATCACTAATTTAGAATTTTTGGAAACCAGATTTTTCTAATTTATGGGAACCAAATAAACATGTTGTGTCTTGTAGTATTTATAGAATGCAGAAACCGAACACTTGATGAATTTTGAGGGAACCACAAATCTTCCTCCACTTCCATGAAATCAGTAACAATTACCTTCTTGCTGAACCTTTTGATAAAAATTTCTATTTAGCAATATGTAGATACTTTTGACAAAGGCTGCTTCTCCTGGGCTCTCAGCCTTAGCACTCACACACAGTAACCTGGGAAAGCTAAGGCAGCCAGGTGGAATGTGACATTCCTTGGTTCAGGAGTTTGGAGGGTGTCTGTTGGAAGAGGGTGTCTAATGCAAGTCCATCAGTAAAAAGCTGTTTTAAAATTATTTCGAGCAGACTTTGCTGCAGTGATGGCAACCAGTCATCACACAAATCTGTCATCTACCTAGAATGAAAATTAGATAAAGGAAGAATGTCTTACTAACTAAAGGGCCAATTTTTATCACTTTTCTTCCATGCCTTTTCCTCTTTTGTTTGTTTTTGTGGGTTTTTTTCACTTTTGTTACAATTTCCCTTTTATAATGATGAAGTAATGAACAGTAGGAGGTCTCTAATGCAAACTGTACATTTTAAAATGTCTCTTCTCTAGAAAAGTCACACCCAGAAAAGTAATTTTAATACTTAATGTGTGCAGTTCAGACCATTTTCTATGTCAAAGCAAAGGTTGATGTCTTTTTTCCTTTGCAGCAGCCTAACTTCTTCAGACAAATTAATGTGATGGAGGATCACCAACATAATGACTTAGCTATTTTAAGCAGTTCAGAAACTATTCCAATAGTGTCAATAACAGAGACTTTAAAGCCAGAATGTTGTTTAAAAACATTCTGTTACTAAGGTTTTTTCCCAGTTTGTGTATTTACATTTATTTATTGACCTTGAAAAATAAATATGTCAAGCTAAGTGTTTGTTATTATTTTCAGTGACAGTATTGCCAGGTTAAACTCCTTTTGGAACAAATCTAGCTGTTGTGGTTATGGAATATATCTCTTTGCCTAAGATACTTGCTCATATTAGAAGAATTCATGTAACATTTCCACTTTCAGACAGATGTGCCTGAAACCCAATATACTGCAGTTACAGGAATTATTGCCATTTGGTCACAGAGGAAGAAGAGTTAAATGCAATGCTCATCATGAAGCTGGGACTCCCAGATAATTCAATTTCTCTTTCAATAAAGGAGAAAAGGGTTTCAGGGTATCTGAGATGGCAGGCATGCTATGGAAACAGTCCTCTGTTAATATCCTTTTTTCTTTACAGGTCTTGAAGCTTTGGAAAAAAAGTAAAGAATTCCTGAAATCTAGGGCATTGTTCTGCACGAGTTGAACATTTTAGTAGCAAAACTTACAAGCAGATGAGCTTCCTAATATCCAAAATGAAAGACAGCTGGAAGCTTAATTTATGCCCTGCTGAGACTAACCATTCCAAAAGCAAATGTCACAGTATCTGAGGATCAACAAAACTGAACAGAATTGCTTTTACTTGTATAACAGTGAGCTTGGAAAACAACATTGCACAATATAGTCATGGAGTACCAGAAAAACAGTATCTACTTCTGACTGTTTACTTAATTTGCCTTTTTTTTCAAGCTCATGTTCTGGCAAAAGGGTACAGATTTATACCTTAAATCTGTTTATACACTTTAGCATGCACATGCTCCAAATACCTACATAATATATATGGAAGTGTCCAGAAAAGTAGAGTAGAACTTGTTTTCCACTAGGTAGCAGTTAGCACAGAAAACAGAATCACAGAATTTTTGTTTGTTGCATTATAGTCGTGACATATTAAAAAAAGCTACATACAAGTATTCTTAAAATTAGCAAAAACCTGAGCACTGCCGTAGCGATAAATGTTTTTTCTAAGGCACTTTGTAAATGCTCCAACACATCACTTTTCTTGTGACACTCATGGAATTGGCCACCCAACAAAGCAGGTCCAAGGGAAGGTTGTAACAAGGATGAAATCAGCATTCCTGAAAATTCACTGAAACACAGTGCAAAAGCTGTGTTTTGTAGCTGTCCATTAATGTAACAACTGCTGTGCTCGGAGTGTCTTTGCAGAGCTGCCCCGGTGGGTCCCCGGCACGGGAGCTCCCAGGGAAGCCCAGGCAGTCCCTTACTCAGCTGGTATTTCACATTATTGTCACGTTCCTTCAAACTTGTATACACAAGCTCTTGAAAAAATTTTTCCAGTACGTAATACAAGGCAGTTTGAGTTCTTGAAATGGCATTTTTTTGTGCACTCAGCAGGAAATACTCGAGTAAAAGGTGGAGATGACGTACTTTTAACAGAACCTTTCTTCTTTCCTGCTCCGCTAGTTCTGTAACCCAAAGTTAGCTCATTGCTTGGATCAGCTCTTGGCACTAGGATGCTTATTAGAGAATCTATACGAACTACATCCTTAAATACAGCATACTTAATTAAGACCTTCTTTATTTTATATAAAAGTAGACTCCTTAAAAAAAGTTGTAACCTTAAACAGCAGGTGCCTCAGGAAATGCACGTTAATAGGTGCAGCATCCTCATTAGAAAGCATATTAGAGAAGAGCAAAGTGAACAAGCTGTAGTTTGGCTGCAATATAGTGCTCACATTCCTTCCACCTGTTCTGTGACGAACGAGACCTCGGTCACAAGGAAAATCCAGCACTGAAAAGTGTTCCTGTAGTCCAGTGGTAGCAGATGTCAAGTGCAAGGGCTGACAAGGGCAGTTCATGTTGTGAGGAGTTCAGGTCCTTCTGCTATTAAGCGTGACTGCAATAGACTGTTAATGCTGAGTGGGAACATTGAGTGAGTGACACTTTCTCACACAAAATCATGTGCACAGAACTCTGTCTGGTGTTCACTCCAGAGTGTTTCCATGTAGCTCCTTGTTCACAGCTTGTTCTTATCGTTGTCCAGTAGAAAAGCCATGGATTTAATCTCAGCTGTCACCTGCTTTGATGGGGAAGTGCCACAGGGAAATGCTGAGCAGGAAAGAGAGGCTGGAACATAAAAATCTCTATGCTACCTCTTGAGATTGGTGAGGGATTTGTCCTTAATTCTGCTGTTATTTTGGACACAAATAGCTGTGGCACAGCTTGCAGGGCCAGATTTTCTCACCTAGGTAATGCCCAGCACGCTCATTTCCGAGGGGGTTGGCACTGTGTGCACTGCTCTTCACTCTGTCACACTTTACAGTCAAGATGAGCTGTTCTGACCCTGGGATAACTCAAAATATTTTTATTAAATGTCAGTTGCCTACTGTTCAGTGTTGGTCAGTGTCAGCTCCTCTCACTCTGAGCTCTCTTTACTTGGCTCTAGAGAACTTGCCTTCATCATTCCTTCTCTGGTTTGTAGGATTACTTGTGTTCATGGAGAAGCTTCACGTGCTGAAAGGGGCAGTTCCTTGTTTTTCAGGGTTAAAACCTTTAATTCTCTAGTTAATTATCATTAGAAACTCAAGATGCCATGCTTGCCTCTTTGCACAGCATACAAAAATTTCCAACAAACTAGTGCTAGGTTTGGGAAATCTGTAGGGAATGATTCCCATGAAGTTCCAGCACTCAAAGTAACCGAAAAGTTTGTCAGCTTAGTATGAACAGCACACTTACAAATAATGTATTGCAACAACATGCTAAAAACAAAGGCAGCTGCTGCTCTGGGTGTGATCTGTTGATGAAACACGAGCTCAGGCACTGCAAATGCTCCCCTCACAGCCCAGCTGTGCATTCAGGGGAGCAGGGGCTGCTGGTGTGCCTGGAGTTTGTTGGGGCCAAAAGTGAAGGAAATGGGATTGTTTGAAATAGTCAAACACTAAGCCAAATGTACATAGATCTGGGGGTGGACAGGGACACAAACTCAGCCAAGTTTTATTATTTTTTTAATTGCTCCCTTGAACTGTCCTTTAGTGCTGACCCAAGTTCAGTTTAGGTCCCATCCAGCATAAGTGAAACAAATATGGGGAGTGATCCACCAGTGTCTCACGAGCCCAAGCTTTTAGCTCAGATAAACTGAGGTTCTCCATCACAGAGCTGGATGGAATAATGTGATGCTTAGTTTCTCTCGAAGTTCATGCTCTCCTTTCTTGTTGAAGCCATTAGTAAAACTTGCACAGGCTTTTTGAGTTAAAACTGCAGCTGTAGCTTTTCAAAGGTAATATTAATATTATGCCAAGCTGCTTGGAAAATTTCACCTCACTTAGTTTAGCATTTTTTGACTTCTCCTAAATGTGTTTCCAAAAGAGCTGGGACAAATGGGGGTTTTTGTCAGAAATGTTATGTTTGGTTTTGTTCTGGCTCACTGGAAATGCCAAGGAAAGGGTCAAAACTTCAATTATAAGGAACACCAGTATGTCAGTAAACTAAACTCATCTGAGTAATGGGCACACCCTTGGGTTTGGTCATCTCTTGTTTTGGGGAACTGCAAAATAACAAAGAACAAAATGAAGCCAATTTTCTCTCTAGTATTTTGGTGTCAGGGCACCAATGGGTCTCTTAATTTTAGGGGTTTTGTTACTGCAGATTAACCAGAGCCAGAAGGAGCTGGTTTATATTAATTACTGTTTTGTTTACAATTTTTAGTGAAGTCCTTCACACTGAAAGTTTGAAAACTCTGTGAGTAAGTAACAGTATGGGGGGGTTTTGGCCAAATTGGGTTGTAGTTACTGTAGGAAAAGATATTGCTGTGGAAATAAAATCCTTCTTTTGTTAGGAAAAGTATAGTAGGTGGTGCCTTCAAGACACTGAAGAGGGATACAGTGAACCAATGAACCTGCTTGTGGATTTTTAAATGACTTATAATTTGGCTTTTGCATTTTTTTTTATCATGAATAGTTGCAATAATCACACGTTTGCATTCCGTACACTCAGGTTACAGCAGTGTGTTTGTATTTCTGGATTTCTGGATTTCTTACATGCCTTCTCTTAGGGGCTGGCAAGCAAAAATAACTTTGGAGAACCCATTAAAAAAGTGACCACAGGTACAAGGATTTCAAATCTGTTTCTTTACCTGTATGTTAACTCTTGACATCTCCAGTGCTGTTACATTATGTTAAGAAGTGCAACTGGTCAGGGAATTACAGAACAGACATTCATGAAATGAGCAGGATTCTGGTTTGGAGACAGTTTGTACTTGCCAAAAAAAAAAAAAGAAAAAAAGCCCAGTTAATACAGGTTGCTGTCAGCTTGCAGTGGACAGATTGTGTCACTCAATGTCTTCTCCCTGTGTTTCTGCAATGTATTATCAGTGTTTGCAGGTCAAGCCTCACGAATTTGACAAGTGGTACTTTGAACTACAGGAAGTATCAAGTACTTGTCCTATCCCATGGGATTATATTCTATATCTGTTACTACTTGCTCAGTATTAGTTCTTACATAAAACATCACAGAATGTTAATACCTTACAGTAATTTGTCAGGGAGTGAGAAATACTGGCAGCAGTTTCCCCACAATAACCCAATACAGCTTTAATGTTAAATGACAGTTTAGGTTTATCTTTCATATTAAAGCTTTCAGCAAAAGAAGTTTTATCAAAGTTTTCCTAAATAATTTTTGATTATCCTTTTATCTGCTCAACAGATACAGAGCTATTATTTGTACAACTTCTGATTATCACTTTTTACACATACATGTAAACTTCCTAAAGAAGCCACTGATGGAACACACAAAAATGAATCCTACAGAAGCTGCCCCAAGTTCTGCAGTGTTAAGTCAAGTATTTGTTGTCTTAACTGCCTTCACTGGGTCTTTTTACAATGAAATGTTTAAAAACAACCCCACACACGCAAAACCCCAATGTATTTTAGGAACGTTCCAAAGACTTCCAGACTGGTAATGTCTTCAAGATGCCACCAGAATTGTGCAATTCCTGTGTTAAATTTAATTTAGTTGTGAGCCTGTTAGTCACCCAATGTTTACCTGGTCTCTAAATCTAGTTTTAAAAGGAAATGCAAATTAAAGCTAATGCAAGTCACTGTGGATTTACCAAGAGAGGGGAGAAGTTACACTTTTAAAGATGGTATTTTAGGGGTACATGACATGATTAAATCTGGTCATGCAGCATCATTTGTACCAATGTATGTGATTAAAATCCTTTTCATCATGTTACACATTATCCAGCACTGTAATAGCATCAAGTTCAACTACTGAATGTTTTGCATTTTAAAAGCCTTAATTGTTTATATTGTATTAATGTGTTTTTAAAAACTATAAGGAAACAACATTTTCCTTGTAAATTGTTAAAATAATTTTGAACACAAATAATTTTCAGAGAAATCCAGTTCTGTATCTTAATACCCCTTTTTGTTTGTGTACCACAAAGCTGTTAAATTCTGTTACCTTTTAGAAATGTCTCTCGTTATCAGCCTCTCTATAGTTCAAGGTCTTTACCCAACTGAGATTTATTTTGGTTAACAGTCTTCTGAAACTCATTGTATGTAAATAAAGTGAGCAAACTTAAATAAATATTTCATTTAGATATTTAAGTTCTTTCCTAATAATAAAAGGTTGGATGATATGCTAAAAAAACACCAAACAACCCAACAAAAACTCACTCTGGAAAAGGACAGACTTCTGGTGCTCTCCAGTATTTTATAAATTCACAGTTTTTGGCAATTTGTTTTCAATTATTTTCCCCCCATCATCTTACTTTAATATTTTAAGTAAAATATCTACATATACACAATCACGTTTTTCATTGAATTAAGCTTTAACTGTGGGAATGCACATCTAGATGTGTAATGGAAGAAACAAAGTCACATCTCCAGTTCTGTTTTTGTACCTCTCTAGAGCTTTGCCTTTTAAGATTATAAACTTCCATATTTCCCATTTGATCCATTAGCCACTAGAAACTCATCTTAGAGCACTGGTTTTGCATGTGTTGTCACACCTGGTGAAGCACAGCCTGCAGCCAAATCCAAGCACTTTTTAAAATGCACTGTGAACCTGGACTTTCTCTTGCAAACTCCTGCAACAAAACTCAGTAAATTGAACTTCTCACATTTCCCTTCTAAGAACTGGACAACAGTTCTTACAGAAGATGTATTAAATATGTGAAAGTAAGTGATGTGCTTGCTGAGACAGTGCATTTCTTTTGTTTAAACCTAAGTATTTGTCAGCTGTGAATATTCACGTTGGATTAATTATAGACTGTGCTGTTAGATCAGGTCTCTCTCCTCCCATCTTTCCTGAAAGGCTACTTACTCAAAACCAGTTTAGTTTAACTCATTTCCTGCTACTTAATTCCTCTGCAGGTCCTCAGCAGTTCTTCCACACAGTGAGCACACTGTGACGGGGGGCAAAGGTAACGTGCAAAATCAGCATCTTCTTGCTGCCTCAGGCCTCAAAATATGGAACTTAAAGCCTTCTTTAAGAGGCAATCTGGAGCAGGAGCCACTTGCAGCTCTTATTCAAGGACTACTTTATAAGCTCTCGTGTTCTGGGGTAACCCCCCCAGCTCTGCCAAACTGGATTGGGTTTGGAGCTGTCCCCTCACCCTGGTGGTCAGTGAGTCCTGGCCTGTCTGCCTGACACTTCTGACTGGGGCTGGGCCACAAAGGTTTGACACCAGTCAAACCAGTCCATGTTACACAAACCAAAAGGCTTAACCAGATGCACCCCTTTTGCCTGAGGCCACATCAGTGAGCAGGGGTGGGTGTCCCTGAACAAGGCTACACCTACAGGATTCCAAAGTTTGGGGTAGTCTGGTGAAAAAAACAGCTGTATCAAAGTTCCACAAGACCTTTGCTAAACACAAAGAGCAAATTAAAATTATTTCTTTAGGCCTCCCCTTCCACTATTTTTTTTAAGGGATTCTTCTTCTGTGAATAAATGTGCTTCTAAGTTTTCAACTCAGTAATAGTGAAGGAGACAAGTTTTAGAGTTAGAAACTAAGGGCACCCATGTTTTGATTTGCTGTACCAACACATCCATTTAATTCTGCCATACCTCCCAAAGACTCTTTCAAAGACTTACTAGAAGCTATACAGAATATGAAGGTTTATTTCAAAAGAATACATTTGCAAGAATACACATAAATGCACTCAATGTAACAGTACCTTCTGCAAAAATAGGTTACATAATACCCAGTAATGAAAGAACAATCTTATTTCTCTACAAATTAGAAAGCAGAGATAATAGCCTGGACAACCTTCAAAATGGAGGTCATAGTTGTGTATGTTGTGAGAAGTAGCTAACTTTAAAGCATGACACCACAGAGCTAATGTTGGCAAATCAAACTACTAGCACACAGCTGCAAACTATTCTTTTATACAGGATTAACAAATATTTTGGTTCCAATTCTTTTTTACACAGCTCTAGTGCCTCAGGGAAAATGCTTATCAAAGATACACAAAAACTATCCAAAATTACAACGTAACTATTAAAATGCCTCCAAAATTGAGAGGAAAATAATCATGTTAAATTAAAAAAATTTAACCAGGACTTCCAGACAAGATTTCCTGTTTTTAATCAGAGAAAGTTTACAAGAGATTTCAATAAGTTATCTTGAAACCAAGCAGCTGTAGATCTTAGAATCTTCGTGGAGGTCCACCTTTAAATGGCTTAAATCCTGAGCCACTTCCCCTCTGCATGGAATTGCCTGTGATCTGTACAACTCTATTAATTGGTGAAGAGTTACTGGAAACAAAGGTTTTAAAAAAATGTTAAGTTATGGTAAGTATCTAAACTCTTGCTGTACAGGTAATAACATTCTTACATCTCATATCATTCAAGTGTTAAACTGTTAAGTCTCACAGGAGAAGAGACTTTGCAAGAAGTCACTCATTCCTGTGCTGCCACCAGCAACCCTGGGGAGCCCTGTGCTGGCAGGGAAGGTGGGTTTGGATGTTGTGCAGCAGCCACAACAAGTCATGCTGCTTGCACTGGCACTACTGCACTTCCTAAGGCAACCAAAGCTTGGAGAGCTCAGTAGGGAATTGAGAGGGAGGAGCAGTTTCTGTACCTTGTATGTGGGGACATCATGCCCCCTCCTCCACGGCCATCTCCCATTCTCCTCGTGTCATGGTACCCACTGCCCTGGGAACCAGGGCCGTGCCATTCTTTCCTTGGTCCAGTTTCACGACTGTGGCGCTCGACAACGTGTCTGTCCTCGTTGTAGTGCTGGTAAGAGAGCCACAGTCAGCCACTCCCAGAAGGAAAGGGGGGTTTTATCCACAGGAAACAAGCTTTTCAAGAAAGCTAATCCTACAGCTTCCATAATACACATCAGTCCAGCACCTTTTTAAGATTTCAGTCCGTAGGCAGCTAACACAGGTTTACAACATTCCTGTGAAAAATAATTCTAGGTAACAGGAACTTAGTTCCAATGACAAGTGTGTGAGTATGCAGGGAGTGAACCTCCATGAACTCATACTTTACTCCCAATTCTGCCCTGATCTCCCTATCACTAACAGAAAACTCAAACACTAACACTTTTTTAATGCTTCAGGACCTACTAGCAGGAAAATTTAGTCTGCAGTCTTTAAAGACAAGCCATGCAGAAGGTTTTTCTCTCCGTAGCATGTTACAGATCACAATGACAAACTGCACTGGAAGTAGCAGGCAGTGTGAGGTTAAGACCCTGAAAACAGGATGACAATGAAATCTTAAAAGCTTTATCATCAACTCACTCAGGCATTGTATTATCGTATTGTTGTGATCTACCATAAAGATTCTAAACATAAAAAGAATTGTGTAAGTTTTCTGCAATTTCTTGGGTTATTAAAAAAACCTGACAAAAAAGAACCTTTAACATAAAGCAAACTAAGTTGAGAACAGCCTTAACACTTGCTAATCATTTTATGATGCCGTATGGTCACTTTTCCAGCATGAATTTGCATTTTCCAGCCTCTCACTCATGCAGACAAACACACAAGATGACTCACTTGTCCTCCACCTCTTTCTCCCATCACGCCTCGTTCTCCTTCCCTGCCTCCGTACCCGGAGGCGCTGCTGCGGCTCCCGGGAGGGGCCCCTCTCACGTGGCCGGACACTTCCCTTCCCGACCGGTCCGGCCGATCGCCTCTGTAAAAATTGCTTCCATCAAAATTTGGGTTTCAGTGTGATTGAACTGGTACCAAATCGCAGCACATGTAGACAGCAAAGATTCCTTTGGTTTGCAGGTTCCTACCGACTCGCAGCTGACTTCTCAGAAACGTTCCTTCAGGTCTGTGTGGCTCTCTAATATCTAAAGCTCACGTGGTACTTGTTTGCATCTGTATTCTGCACAACAGCCTCCTTACTTGATGTTGCTACACACAATTAACAGACTGCTGGGAGTCAGCACCCAGTTCACAGATGAGATATAGCATTTGACAACCTACACACAATTTTTTCCAATGCTTTTGGAAAGCAACTTTGCCATTCCTTAGGGAGAGTGGGGTCTATTCTTTCTTTGTTCATCAGTTCTTGAGGAATTGCTACTATGGATAAATTCTACAAGAATCAGTACTTTCACTGGTTAACCAGCAAACTTACCTGCCATCCCGTTTGTCTGTGCTTATGCTTCCCTCACTCTTCCAATTTGTTTGCCTAGGTGGGTTGGAACCAGTCTCTCTGGGATGTCTCCCGTGGGGAATTTCGGGTCTGTCGTGAATTATCACTGTTCTCCTTTCATCTCTGTCTCCCCGCACTTCCCGTCTGTCCGTGTCCCGAAGTTCACTTCGTGGCTGAGGGGGTTCATTTCTTCTGGACTCACTGAAGCTCTTGGGATACCTCTCAAACCCTGGCTCTTCTCTTCGTGCTGTTGGGCGAGTCTTTTTTGCCTCCCCTTGATTTACAAAACGATCTCTCCTAAGTTGTTAAAGCAGGAAAAAGTCATTTGCTTCTCTCCCATTTCTAGAATTCTAATTTTCAGCTTGAATTTTAACAGCCAGTTTAACATTTCTTTATGCATTTATTTGTTCCCAATTTGGTCAGTGTAATTTAAGCAGTTACAGGGCCTTTTTGGCTAGTATGAAACAGAGGGAATGGTGGATTTCCTGAGTCAGCCAGAAAATATAATTCTAGTTCACTGCAGCATAAAAGTAGAAGTCCAGAAGCTACAATTATGTGGTCTTAGCTTTGTAAGTGGTTACTGGAGATTTTTAATGGAACTATGAAGTTGGATCTGGAACCAGTATTTACTCCACAGTTACACAGTTGATGAATGCTCTCAACTCTCCTTAAATCAGCTGCTTTTAGCCTTGCTTCTTAAGGAGGTGATTTACCAAGTAGGGCACACCTAATCCACTGGAACCTACTTATGAATAGATGTGAAATAATTGCAAACATTCTTTCAAAATGTCTAACTAAAAAGGCCACCAGCTAATTTAAAGTCCTCAGAGAAAAGCAGATTAGATTCCATGATATAAATGGCCAGTCCCGAAGACACAAGAAATGTCAGGACACTACTGAAATTCTACTGCATAAGAACTGTACAAAGCCCTTAGCAACGTTTTCAAATTTGAACAGTTAAGAGCAAAAGCCA